TGGGTAGGATTAGAGTAAATTAATTTTTGAGACCTTTCCCCCCCCTCCCCTTTTTATTAGCTATATTTTTATTCGCCAGCGACACCAAACGTGGGGCGCGGGTATACCAGATTCGATTTTATTACTCATCAAGATCTTTACCAGCCTACCCTCAAATGGAAATTATTTTAGGCAGGATTAGAGTAAATTAATCTATGAAAACTTGCGCGTGGTCAGATACATCAATCGAAAAGGCTTCACCTCCTGAGTCCAAAACTGTGATTATATCTTAAATCGGTCAAGATATGACGGAACTGTGAGCTAAAAGTTTGTACTTGAAAAACAAAAACAATAAAACTCAGAGCCATTCTATGAGCCGCTATGCCGCGGCTAAAAACTACACTATGTGACATAATCATCAACCTGAGATCTGAATTTAGAAAATGTATAATAAACTGAATAATATTACGACCTAAAATCTGCTAAGTAATATTTTATGCTTTGTTCGCGATGATTTTGCGCGTAAATTTTAGATTTTACAAATACAAATATTTATGGAATCTGTATTAGAAATATATTCACCTTCTGCACATCAAACTAGAATGGTAAAGTTTCGGGGCGTTATCATTCTAGTTTGATGTGCAGAAGGTGAATAGAATTTATGAGCTTAAACGCGTGTGAATAACATTCAAGTCACTGTTGCTGTGATCTGTCTCTCATTGTTTTTTCTTTTGATTAGTTTGACATTGATACGTTTGTGTCCCTCATAAAAGTTTCATTCTTTGAGACGTCCATAAAATCGGTTATTAACTATTCATAAGATCTTCCCAGAAACCGTCACTAGCCATCATAAAAGTTGTGTCAACTTAACATTTGTTTGCTTCCTCAAAACAAGTATCTCCCAGATAAGACAAAGGAATTCACTTGTAACTAAAGATATTTTTATATAAATTCCAAGTTTACATTACTCGCTAGATACAAAAAGTTTGCAATTTCTCATTTTTTAATTAATTTGACATAACATCACAGTTAATTAATTTAACATCCGCAACGGTAAGTGAAACTTAACGAATATAAGTAAAGTTAAGTATTTGATATCTATAAACATTTCATGCCACAAGTAATCAGATGGCCGATGCATATATATGGATCTATCTATCACTGACCAGATTATATATATATATACATACCATTGCAAAGATTATTCCATGTGGTCAAAGTTAATTCGTGAATTTATAATTACAAGTCACGGAGTAATTAGCGCTAAAAATATCTTTAACAGCGGGAGTACCCAACCGATTCAGTGGATTTTAGTCGGTTTTCTAATGTCCCGGTTTATGACATATAAATACTTCTAACATGTTTATTGCACAGGATAGACTTTGATTTATAAGTTACTTTTAGATCTGATCTATAAATAAACCTTGCTTTTGATCAGAATCTGTCAACTTGAATTTATCATTCACAGATCAACAAATTACAATTCCTATTGATTAAAAATGAGGCACTCGAAAAATACGTTGATTTATAAAAAGGCTAAAAAGCAGTGATCGATCACTTCACTATTACCAAATCAAGGGTTCGATTCCCTTCGGTGGACACAGTAGATAGCCCAATGTGGCTTTACTATAAACACACATACACACATTTTTTCATAACTCCCAAACCTGTTTATTTGGGTGAACATTTCCACTGTGTTATCTTAATTCTCATGAAAGTACGCTACATCGTCGTGTTTCTGATCTAGATTATAAACTTAAAAATAAATAAATAAATAGGCTTAATTTTAATCTCCCCAATTTCTGTGATGTGTTATCCTCGAAGATGCCATTTCATTGGAAGAAGGTTACAGTTGTTTACGATGATGGTTGCTTGTTTGACGCACACATAATGCAAGGACAACACAATAAACGCGATAACGCAACTGTACCATGAATATCACGCGGGAGGTAAAAAGTGACGTTGCTCGCCACTAACAAGGTTTTTATTAACGCCTTGATGTAATCATACTCCTCATCCGGTTTCCCTGCCGTTCTCGGGAGAGCTAATACACAGCTTTGACTAGCGTAGATAGCTAACTGGCTTTAGCATCTACCAGTACCATTTGCTCGTACACTACACGAAGCCCTGTAGAGAATCTGTCTGCAGTCGCCCCCACTCTCAACATTCAACAAGTACGGTATGCTGCTCTATCAGTTCATTCTGGGGAGTTCGAAAGGTCACCATGTGACAACCAACCAGGGATGTGAACCCACATGAAAGCTCACCGTGTGATTTCTCACAGTCTGACATTCGCTCTCGTTCTTTTTTTAACTAAACGAAATTCCATCCTTTTTTTTAAAAAAAAAAACTTTGGACAAACTTTCGCATGTTTTCCTTCTGGATGACAAAACATGAACGGAACTGTGTAAGTACTCTTGGTCAAGTATTTTACATTTGCTTATAGTGTTTCTAGACTAACTTATGGTTTTCTCTTTTTCTGCGCGGTAATGTTCGTAGCAGCATTCTATGTGTATTAACTGGAGTAAGAAAAGAACCAGTAAACCAATAATTTTCGAACTGTAAGTATGTACATGTTAGACCCGTTTGCTCACAGTTTTTTTGATATACAACAAAAACCAGCTCTAACATTTTTGCCACCGAGCTGCCAAGTGAGGACGTCCGTATTTCAGAACGTCCTTCTTTTGACAATGTGCTTCCGCATTTGAGTCAATCGTAAGTGTAGCTAATTTTGTTTGTTGTTTTATCGACAAATTAGGGACAAATATTCCATGTCAAATTAAAAGTTAATCATCTGGGTGTGAATGCGCGCAAGCTTGCACAACTTTAATTATGTATGTGTAATTAATACTTTCACACTAAGATAACTACTGGTGCAACATAGCTGTAATAATACTTTCACACTACAGCAATAGGCGTCAATGTTGTCTGTAGCATAGCTTTATCGATCATTGTTTGTTTGTTTGTTTG